TCCCTAAGCATCAAAATTAGAACATACAAAACTATAATTTTGCCTGTGGTTCTGTCTAGGCGTGAAACTTGGTCTCTGACATTAAGGGAGGAACATAGACTGAGTGTGTTTCAGAACAGGGCGTAGAGGAGAATATTTGGACCAAAGAGGAATGAAGTGACAGGAGGTTGGAGAAAACTGCGTATTGAGGAGCTTCATAACTTATACTATTCTCAAGTATAATTAGAATAATCGAGTCAAGAAGGATGAAAAGGGCAGGGCATGTAGCACGATTGGGGAGAAGATGAATGCATACAGGATATTGGTTGGGAAGAGACCACTGGGAAGACCAAGACGTAGGTGAGTGGACAATATTAAAGTGGATCTTAGAGAGATAGGATGGTATTGATTGGATTAATCTGGCTCGGGGTAGGGACCAGTGGAGGGCTCTTGTGAACATGATAATGAACCTTCGGGTTCCGTAAAATGCTGGGAAGTTCTTGAGTAGCTGCACAATTGGCGTCTTCTCAAGGAAGGCTCAGCTCCATGAGTGAGTCTGTTGCTTGCTGTCTGCTACATGTTGGTTTCTTGCTTGACTTCCTCTTCAGCCCTGAAGAGACAAGCTGCATGTTTCTCTGTGACGTCTGTTGACTTTCAACAGATTACACGGCGTTATATCTCAGAAGATTGAACTCCTTATTTATGATGTTCTTTGCTCTGAAACTGTGTGAAGGCTATCAAACTTATTGTGTCATATGCGTTAATTTATCTTTTATGTTTTCAGTCTGTATTTCATCTGTGAAAAAGCTCTTTGTAAATAATGATGAAATTTTATCATCCATTCATGTTGCCCCTAAGAGATGCATATGAAATCCACAAAGTGCCGCTTTCGAATCCTACTCTGGACCAATTTCTTTTAACTTCTTTCCATATTTTGCCTTCTTTTAGAGCTTGATCCCTGGTTCTTCTGTTCCAGATTCATCTCGGCCTTCCTCTACTTCTCCTTTGAGCATTTCAGTCCAGTGCACCTCTTTCATGTGATCCGTTTCCCTTCCTTAACCTATGCCCAACCCATTTGCTTCTCCAATTTTCATTTCTGTTGTAATTCATTTTTGTCCTGTTTTGCTGCAAAGCTCTTAGTTCGAAATCATTTCTGGCCATTTTATGTTTAGAATTCGTCTTAAACCGTGGTTTATATATGTTTGTAGTTTATGACAGTGATTCTGTACCATCTTCCTTTTATATCCTAGATGGCATTTTGTGAAAAAAAAAAGTAGTCCCACAAGAAAAAAAAACGAAGCTTCTCTTATTCCAAGAAGTGTTTAGCATTATCTTACTCAGAAACAGACATTCTCATTTTGAGAACAGACATCGTACTCAGTCAACCGTCAAATCCCAGTAGTGTGTCAATTTCCACCTGTTGGGAAACGGTGTTTTTGATCAAGAATTCGACTAGTCTTCATAGTTTCACAACCAACTGGCGTGTTATGCCTGCAGATAATTTCTTTCTCAGGTTCTTGGCTATGAAACTGTGAAGGTTTTTGCGCACAGAAGGTAGACCCGAAAACAGGTGCGTGGACTGTATTTTCATAATCAGGAGTCAGTCCTTGATTCACCTTGAAATTGTGTCTTTGTTCATTACCACCATCGTGGAAGTTCACCGTTCGCAATTTTCCTGCTGTTCAAACTGGCAGGTTTCAAGGTCTGTGCTGACATTGTGTAATATACCACCTTGTCTCTGGCTGTGTATTCGTAATTCATAATTAAAGAACATTATTGTTGCAACAAGTTGCTCTTTCTTCCTGGCCCTACAGTCCGAGTTGGGTTTTAGCATGCTCACACATTCGCAACCTAATACGTTAACTTCACGCAATATGTTAACGCTTGGCAGTTCGTTGCAGCAGTAAACAGAAGTTAAGTAATTTCCGAGACTTCATTTCGCCGTTATAACACTTTTTGTGACGTATAGTAGGATGCGTGGAAAAGGTCTGATGGCATTCAGCACATGTCGAAATATGTAGCCCAGATCTCATGCACTAAACACTGTTATTTGACAAAAGCAGTGTGTGTTGTGGAAACACAGCAGTATGTTACAATTAAAATTAGTGACCTATGTTTAGGCACGTAACTATCTACACCAACAAATAATATTTTAAAAAATTGGAAGGAAATAGAGCAATATCTTCTGGGATGTGCTCTAATTCATAAAACCTCTATCACATTACATGACGTCACTTATCAGGAGATAGTACTGTTGTTAGTCACCAGCATGAGAATCTGAAATCTCAGTAGAGGGAATGACTTTGTTATGTGTATTCTTGACTGGCCTTTGGAAATTAAATTTACTCGCTGTCTCTTCACTGCTTATTTCAGTTGTGGCAGTATGATTTTTGTACCCTGAGGACTCTCTCATTTAAGATAATTTTTATAGACCTGTGCTTTCCCTTATAAGTGAAATAAACGTTGCATTTACTGGAATGAAAGTACGCTGTACATTTAACCAAAAAACAATTGTTTCATTTAAAAGAGTTGTCTTTTGGGGTGTAATGCTATATAGTCCATTGAAAGTCAGCTGACATTTCAGAGGAGCATGTCACCTCCATCTTTGGAGTCTAGTAATAAGACAAAAAAGAAGCCAGCATGGAACAGGTAGCAAGCAGAAAAATATTGCTGAAAGCTCGGTTTGTAGTTTTATTTTATTACATCTTAGTTATGAAAATTCAGAGTGTCATACAGATGAGGCTGTATTTTAGATTTGTATTTAAGAATAAAATTGATTATTACTCTGGACCAAAATAGGCTCATGTATTAATGCAATGATATATATCACTGACTCTCTGAATGCCATAAAAACACTGTTAAAATTGAAAATTCAGCGTAAGAGTACACATATAATTTGCATTTCATTGTGATTAGTAGTTCAGATATGTGTGGATTCAGCCATGCTTGAATTGTCTGCTGTAAATTAAGTCCAGGAACAAGCTACAAAACATCTGTACTAAGACAATTTGTCTTAGTAGAGATACACATACCATCCTGGCATCAACAGAACTTGCTTTAAGATTTCCTGTAATAAACATGCTGTGTGAATCCTTCAAGAAAGTAAACAAGTTATTCCTGAACATTGCATCACATGAATTTTAATCCAACTTTCTGAAATAGTTCTTATGTCACATACCTGAAGTATAATCTCTTGTTGTGAACAGTTGATAAAAGTATAGAATAGAATGTTGTTCTTCACCAAGTGATGCATAGTACATTCATAAATACTACTAGATGATTTCAAACATTACTGAGAATTAAATTGGGCTATAATATCGTTTTTTGTATTCTAATTATTTTCGCTATAGGATATAGTGGAAAACCAGCGCTCTGTTTTGTACTTTGAGTGAACTATTCTGTGAGAAGACTTTGAATTTCTGCTCGTTCTGACATAAAGTGAAAGACACATGCTTTGAAAGTCAAATGTCCAATTTTGTTTTCAGCATTCCATGCATATGAAAACAGTACTGACATTAATATCATCTAACAGTAAATACAGAAACATATTTACTTTGCAGAATTATTTCTTTCTGTTCCAAAGAAGTCATGTAAATCCAGAAAGTAAGTTACTGTGTTTCCTGAGACAAGCTCATATGCCACATTAACTGATATATGTAGATGGCTTTGAGTGGGTATTTTCATTAGAGGGTGTTGAGGAGAATATTTGGACACAAGAGGGATGAATAGTAGGAAGCTGGAGAAGTTTCGCATACTGAGGTGCTTCATAACTCGTGATATTTGCCAGGTATAATTAGAATTGTCAAGTCAGGTAGAACAAGGTGTGCAGGGAATTTAGCACACACAGGAGAGAAGAGGAATGCATGAACGATTCTGGTGAGAAAGCCAAAAGGAAAGAGGCAACTAGGAAGACTTAGATGTAGGTGGGAGGATAATGTTAAAATGAATCTTAAAGAGATAGTATGGCATCATATGGACTGAATTGATCTCACTTAGGATAGGGACAAGTGGAGGGCTCTTGTGAACATGCTAATGAACCTTCGGGTTCCATAAAATGTTGGGAAATTCTTGAACAGCTGAGTGACTGGTCACTTCTCAAGGATGATTCAGCTCCATAGAATTAGTTATATATTCATTTTAGTAAAAGTTGTAATACTTCTCTGATGCACATCTTGTAAACAATGAAATGGCATATAGTAATTTGCTATGGTAACACTGTGAAACATCATGACTCCTTTGTGTTGTGTCATTTCCAATTCACTAGCAGAAAATAATTTTATGCTCTCAGCTAACACCATGTCACCAGTTAGAGTAACATGTAACTAATCATCATGAGTAGTGATTTTCATCTGGATTGTATTGTGTTACTAACCCAGAACCTGAACATGAAGAACTTGAACAGGAAATAAACAAAATAATTTTATTTGGGCGTGTAGAAGTTGCCCGTTGGACAAACCGATTAAGAGGATGCTAATGAATTATTTTGCATAACATAACTTGGTACTTCACATTTGAGGGACAGCTGTTTGAGTTGCCCTGGTGCCTTCTTTTTTTTCTCTCTCTTATTAGAATATCACTATTCATTATCATCCTCCACTCTCCTGCCCTTCTACCTTTCCAGCCTCTTATTTGTTGCCAGTTCGTTCATATCGTTTCTTCATTTTCTTTCATATTATTACTTCACCTAATTCTTGGTCTCCCAATATTCTGATTTTAGCCTGTATCCTAGTCTGAAACTAACTTTGATATTCTCTCAGTTTCCATGTGCTTAATATGGTAACACATCATCTCAGATCAATCTCCACAAGATTTTCTCCACTCTTCCCCTCCTTTCTCCTACTATGTGGTTATGGCAGCTATCCTCCTCTGGTATATCACAGCATCCTTCATTCTACTTTGTACATTATGATCTATATCCATGTTTCAGCCCAATATGTTGATAAACAGTAGCTTTTATACAACATGAATTTGCTGTTTTCTAGTAATTCCCATGAAAATGAATGACATCATTTTATTTTCAGGTAATGTAACAGTTCATGTGAGACAGACAACGGACTACAAATAATAGGAACAAAGCAACTTGCAGCATGGAGGAGGATATTGGAGCAACAGTTGAGGTGTATGTGTATGATCTCACAAAGGGCATGGCCCGCATGATGTCACAGATGCTACTTGGTGAGTGACATCACCTGTGTATGCTTACAGCTGTATGGAGTGTAAATAAGCCAATAAAACAACTAGAATTTAGTGAGATAGTTAAGCCGAAGCAATGTACTTCCACAAGTAACATGGAACTAGATTTTAGCAACAATCAAATATGGTCCATCAAAAGTGTTGCCTGAACTACTGTGATCATCCTGTCATGTTAGGTGTGTCAACTCAATTTAGAATACACAGGCATCTGTTACATGAACATAGACAGCATACAGGGACTATGAGTAAATCACATTATTTATTGTCACACCAGTGGGTGTGCCAGACCAAAGAGACTGAAGAAATTGGAAAATTAAAGATGTTACATGACAAAGAACTTTGAATTTGAATAGTATTATGTGAACAGGTAAGACTGAACACATACTTCTAATTGGAAAAAGAAGAAATGTATGCAGAAAGTTAATGGGGAGCCTCTTAGGAAGCACCTACATGGAGAATGTAGGAAATGTGTTACAATATTAATCTGGATCTAAGATAAATTAGTTGTGATGATGTGGACTGGATTAAAGTGACTCAGGATCATGATAAATAATAGGTTTCAGTGAACTGTTTTGAATTTTGTGTTCTGTTACCAGTAGTCAGACCCCCAAAATGACATTTTCCATACTTTTAAATATTACATATGTCCATCTACACTGCCATTTACAAGTTACATTATCCAGTCTTTACCTACACTGTTTGTTCCTGACCTGTGTGGACAGATTCATTCTTTGAAATAAATGAAGGTATCTGTTTTCCGATTTGAAAATCTACTCAAGTATTTTCATTTTTGCTTGTTGACAGTTGGGCTGTAAACTATGTCTTTTAATTATATCCTCAGGGTGTAGTAGTCTTAACCTATTTTTAACAACACTTCCTTGTATTTTTCATTTCCTGGTACTTTTGCCAAGTTCCATAACTTGTTCTTTCGGTCATCGTACTTGATGCTCTTCTGCAGTATTTATGCTTGTAGTCTCTATGAAAGGTTTCCCCATTAAGAGAGACAGAATAATATAAATTTTCCACATAGTTATATCAGCAGCATGTCATTTCTGTGCTCATCATTCTACATACTACTTGATATGAAAGTTGCTTGATCAGTAAAAGTTACCACAGGTTGATCCATGTAGCATAGAAGAGGCATTGCAAGCTGCGCATTTTATTGAAATACAAATAAGTACTTAAATTATGCTCATGTAGTTTGTAAGGGCTACACATAAATGGAATATATTGACGAGGAAATTGAGAGTAGATTACATTTGCTAAATACTTCAGGGACTTTTTATTTCCAATCTTCTGTAAAAATTGTAAAATATTACAATTGGTGAATAACCAGACTAATTCTCTTTGTTAGCTATTGAATGTACACGAAGTTAATGATGTTAGGCAGACCGAAATATACATACAGCAAAGCTATTACTACCCCTGCTTTTGAGATTTCAGTTGCTGTCTAAGAATTGAAATCGCTGGTATTGATCAAATTCCAGCAGAATTAATCCACAAACTTCTTAACTCAACTTTCAATAAGGAAGAATTGCCACATAAATAGATGGAGTCTGTTGTGGTACCTGTTTATAAAAGAGGCAAAAGCTGACTATAAATTTTCAGGGAATATTGATATTATCAACTCATTACAAAATATGATTCAACAGCCTTCTCTCAAGAATAACTCCAAACATCGATGGAATTGCAGGGGATCATCAGTGAGAATTTTGGCACAAGAGATTAATTACTTATCACATATTCTGCATACCTCAGATACTTTAGAAATAATGGGAGTACAATGGGATAGTACATGGGCTATTTATAGACTTCAAAAAATCTGTGATTCATTTTGGATGAAAGTGCTGTTTAACGTTTGTGTTGAATGTGGTATGTCTCTGAAACACGTTGGGCAAGTGGTGGACAAAGTGGCGCTGGGGCAGGTTTTCTCCGAGTACTTCGGTTTCCCCTGCCAATCTTCATTCCACCAATTGCTCCACAATCACCCTCACCTACCATTTGGGGCTGGTACAATAAGCCAGAAGTGGCCGCAGTACAAGGAACGTAGTCCCACCCCACTAGCAATAAAAAAAAGGAGGTTGGTCTAGAAGTAAACATGGGTTAAACAAAGTATACATATAGTCCTGTATTGGGGATCTTTGAACTACTTGTAGATAGGTACAAATATCTTGTTGTTTGGTGTTATACGTGTAAGTTAATTATTTGGTCCTGAAAGGTTATCTTGTCGTGCAAATAGCCATTGAAATTAAAGCTCATATGAGCCTAATATTACTGCCAGGTCAAGAATTGTGGAGCTGTACCTCCATTCCCCCATACGTCTTCATGGAATAATGCTTAACTAATTAGGCACAAGGACAACCCTACCTTTTTACCTTTTAGTCTGTTTACTGATTAGGCCTAGATCAAACAATCCTCATACAAGTCACGTCTTTGCACAGTTCTGCAATGAAGCATGACATGGTTTGTCGGGAAGGGTGGTGCAAAGGGGAACTTCAGTCATGTTACCTTCATACTGTGTTTCATTAACAGTTTATTGTTTAAAACGTGGCATCAGATGGATATATGCATGTGCTCTGAATCTCCCTTTACATTTCACAAAATAAGACAGACATGCTTGACTGTACATTCAAGATGTCTTAAAATAAGTTATAAAACCCCCGCCCCAGTCCCTCCATGATTGTTTATCATCGCATGCCTGGCGAAGTCTGATTTAACCCGCGTTATAAGATGAACTCATTGCACCGCAAAATATTTCTCTCTGTAAAAAGTGAAGAAGCCATGCTTATTCTGTATGAAACAGATTCCCGTTAAGCTGATTGTTGGGGAGGGGTTTGTAATGGATACCGTTCCTTTTTCGTATTCTCTTCGCACATTTTCCGAATTCCTTTCCTCCCCTTGAATCCAGCTTTCTTAGTGTGACGTTTTTCATGGTTTCCGTAGTTTAAAGATGGGCGAATGTTGAGATAGGAACTAAAATAAACCAAGCTCGCTTCAACCCACAGTACTTCTGACCGCTTCTGACGCCGTTTGGTACTAGTTATTTCACTTTCCTCTGTGCTTTTATAGCGCGCTTTTCTGGTAACCCTCCATAGATCTGTGGTTCATAACCTTTTCTTATTCAAGGATAGAGCAGCAGTCGGATTTTCGAGGATTGGTACTCTGTCACACGTTGTACAGTATAAACAGCATTCTACGTGTACGAATGCGTAAATATGTTTTTTACAATATACAAAATATCTCATTTATATGGTAGGTCTATTAAAACCGAAAATACACAATAACTACATAATTTTGGAAATATTACATATGAAAGAATTTGTCAGAAATGTTCCGTCGGTACGTAACAGAAAGAAAAAGATCGATTTGACGCACCTAATGGGATTCTGTGTAACATATACTAATGATCGTCACGGTAGCCGAGCGGTCTAAGGCATGCACTGTCTTCACTCGCTCGGAAGCCGGGTTCGTGGGTTCGAATCCCACTCAGGGCATGGATGTTTGTGTGCGTTATTCTGTGATTGTCTACAGATAGAGGCCTTGCGACGAGCTGATCACTCGCCCAAGGAGTCCTACCGCATGTGTAAGATCTAGTAAACCGAAGTGAAACGGAGAAAAACCCTAGTCAGAATAACCAGGAAATACACTGAAGGAAGCTCATCATAAGTAAATCTACATTTCAAGAAGCGCCATTGTGCGTGCCTCAGATAAACATCGGAACCAACGTGATAACAAAATTTATATAGAGAGCATTAGTCATATCTAAAGTGCATATTTAGAATATCTTACGTAACAGTGTTTCCTTATCGTAGTGGTGCGCCTCTGAAGATGATTCTTTTGAATCGAAACATGTAAGGCGAATGAGGACTGAAGTGTTATAAACTCGTATGTCACACTGGACTGAACTTTTCATTATCTACTGTGTGAAACGGAGAGTTTCATGGAGGTAGGCCTAGGCCCAAATTGGGGCTGTAGCGCCACAGAAAAAAATATATAGTAATGATCAGCACAGAGCCCACAGTCTGAGATTTGATGTTCTCATGGCAGTGACTTTGATGCTTACTGTTTCCGGGAAAGGGACATGGTAGCTGAAGGCGAACCAGGAAGATTTCTTATGACCTCAAGTAAAGGTGGAGGTGTTTGTGGTGGCGGTAAAGCTAAATATAGAAGTCCATATATAGTCCATAGAAGTGACTTCTGGATTCCAGACACGTTACAATATATTATCACGTGTATAACTATATATGGGGTTTGGATTGGTAATTGGATTTATTGAACACTTACAGATCGTAACTACTCGTGCAAGTAACTATAGTGCTTTCGCTAATTCGCGCAATCCGTAATTCGCTACAGCACGCACTAAGTCTTCTCAGTCTGCTGTGCCTTCATCAGTTGTCTGGTAACGGCTTCCAACGCCGTATATCCCTCAACATCTGTATTCATGTCCATACTGGCCATATATATAGTCCATAGAAGTGACTTCTGGATTCCAGACACGTTACAATATATTATCACGTGTATAACTATATATGGGGTTTGGATTGGTAATTGGATTTATTGAACAGTTACAGATCGTAACTACTCGTGCAAGTAACTATAGTGCTTTCGCTAATTCGCGCAATCCGTAATTCGCTACAGCACGCACTAAGTCTTCTCAGTCTGCTGTGCCTTCATCAGTTGTCTGGTAACGGCTTCCAACGCCGTATATCCCTCAACATCTGTATTCATGTCCATACTGGCCATATATATAGTCCATAGAAGTGACTTCTGGATTCCAGACACGTTACAATATATTATCACGTGTATAACTATATATGGGGTTTGGATTGGTAATTGGATTTATTGAACAGTTACAGATCGTAACTACTCGTGCAAGTAACTATAGTGCTTTCGCTAATTCGCGCAATCCGTAATTCGCTACAGCACGCACTAAGTCTTCTCAGTCTGCTGTGCCTTCATCAGTTGTCTGGTAACGGCTTCCAACGCCGTATATCCCTCAACATCTGTATTCATGTCCATACTGGCCATATATATAGTCCATAGAAGTGACTTCTGGATTCCAGACACGTTACAATATATTATCACGTGTATAACTATATATGGGGTTTGGATTGGTAATTGGATTTATTGAACAGTTACAGATCGTAACTACTCGTGCAAGTAACTATAGTGCTTTCGCTAATTCGCGCAATCCGTAATTCGCTACAGCACGCACTAAGTCTTCTCAGTCTGCTGTGCCTTCATCAGTTGTCTGGTAACGGCTTCCAACGCCGTATATCCCTCAACATCCGTATTCATGTCCATACTGGCCGGCGACTCTCTCACAACTGAATAAACTCAAGTCAAAATCACTTTCCGACTAACGGTCGGTCAGTCAGCCAGTCAGTAAGTCTTGTTGTCGAGCCCCGCCTGCGGCTCATGACCAGATATTTATTACTGTTTGACAGTTACGGTCTTGTTTTTTGTGGGGAGCCCTCTCACAAGAGGACTGGTCTGTTTTTTGTAAATGCTGCTGGCCCTCAGGGCAGTATTTCTGAGGTCTGAGTCCCTTGGGACTCGCAACCATATTTTATTGTCTCAGACTTGAGACTTCCCTTTTCTCCGCCTCCTACGACTCGCAGGTTCACGGTGGAGGTATTCGACCCCGCTTCTTCACGGGTTTGACTAAACTCAAGTCAAAGTCACATTGCAACTGACAGTCAGTAAGTCTTGGTGTCGAGCCCCATCTTTGGCTCATGACCAGATATATATTGCTGTTTGACAGTTACAGTCTTGTTTTCATGGGGCGGTCTCTCTGACGAGAGGATGGGTCTGTATTTTGTATATGCTGCTGTCCCTTGCCAGCGCATGCTTTTTCTGGTCCCAGTCCTTTGGTACTCGCGACAATATTTTACTGTCTTAGATTTGAGACTTCCCTTTTCGTCGCCTTTTACGACCCGCAGAGTCACGGTGCAGGTATTCGACCCTGCCTCCGCACGGGTGTTGACTAAACTATAGACTTATCCTACATATCCTCGACACTGACCTCATAAAAAACACTGCTTCCAAAAGTTCCATTGTTGCGTCACGCTGCTGCTGTACGGACCGCGTAAAGAACACCGCTTCCCAATTAGTTCGTTGGTGCGTGTTATGAATCTGTTGCCTATCAACAGACGTTGTTTACAGAGTCATGACTTAGCAACGAGTCTACTTGCTATAATATAATGTTAGCGGACGAGCATGAATTACGTCTTTGAAGCATGATATTCTTCTAAATACTGTTGTCACAAGATAGAGTGTGACTATAGACGGGTTTTGGATTGCTAAATCGATTCTTTGCATACTTTGCGTATGTACTTGAGTTGAAAAGGGTGACATGAATTAGAGAACTTTGGACATGATTTATACAAGTACACTCTTTGAAGATCCTTATTTTAGGGTTTGATCACTTATGATTTATATGAATCCCTTTCCCTAACGTTATTGGTGTATTCCTTTGAGAACCCCAGTACAATTGAGGCCGTGCTATAGCTCAAGTGGTTAGTCGCCGGCTTCGCACCACAGCGGCCCGGGATCGAGCCCAGGTCAGGTCATGTGGGATTTGTGGTGGACAAAGTTGCACTGGGGCAGGTTTTCTCCGAGTGCTTCGGTTTCCCTTACCAATTATCATTCCACCAACTCGACATTCATCATCGTCTATAATCTGAGGCTGGTACAATAAGCTAGTTAGTGGCTGATGTACCAAGTGGACTCAGTCTCACACCACCCAAAGAAACTAAAAAAAAAATAAGGCCGCAGTAAAATTGGATATTTGTATTTGTGGCTGCAGAGAGAGAAAATAACGAACATCACAGTTTTGAGCCTCACATTTCAAACTCTCTCTCTCTCTCTCACACACACACACACAAGTTTTTAGCTTCTGGGTTTTACGCAAAACGTAATTTGGCGACCATGTTTTAACCAATTAACACTTTCAGGTCCTATGTTGAACTCAGTTTGATAACCTATGCGATCATATTAGTAAAATGTAAAGACAAGTAAATATGTTAAAATTTCCTCTGTTGATATGAGAGACATGGGATTAGCTAAATGGAAGGGTAATATTAACATAGATCTTAAATAAATATAATGAGAGAATGTGGACTGTAGTCATCCGAGTAATGACGGCTTCTTGTGAAAATGTAATGCAACTTTGAGCAAGTAATTCCTTGACTAGCTGAGATACTACTCATATTAACTGTCAGAAAGGTTACAAATCAGTGGTGTTGTATCTGTGATGTACAATATCTAAATAAATTGACCTAAATGGATGAGCCTACCTTATGTTGATAAAGTCAATATTCAGTATGTCATTACTGTTGTCCCCATGTTATTAGGGTTATAATTTTTATTTAACAAGGAGTCGGTATTATTCCCAGTTATTAGAAATTAGTTATAAGTTTTGTAAAAAATTAATATATTAGGTGAACCACTGGATGGCTGGCCAGAAATGGGAGGTCAGAGTCGCGGCTGATGTCTTGCATTCCTATGTCATCCGATTTCACGATATTTTATAGAAAATACTTATAAATCAACTGTACAGTACACAGGCACCTCTTTTGACTAGTAGGTCGATGGGCAGGAAAGAATTGCCCACCTGAGGGGTTTTTCTGAGCAAGCAGCATTTCTAAGTGTTGCAAGAAGGTTTTGATAATTTTTGAGGGTCAGGATGTAGAAGCCGTTCTGGGCATTTGGATTCAAGCTGTCATTCATAACACTCGAACTTGAGAAATGATGTGTTGGACAGTCCTCTCGAGAGTCCCGGCCATCTTCATTCTGCGACTTGTCTGATCACGTAAGTAACTTACCTGTGTTCAGCTCACTGATTGAGCGTTAAGATGCGGGATCTGGTTTATTGATTACCTATTAGGATGTAAAATTTGATTAATTGATTTTTAGGATATGAACTCTGGTTGATTGATGGTTGGAGTATAAAGTTTGGTTTGTACCATGTAGGTTTAATATAAGATGTAGTAGATTTTCAGGAGTGAAGTGGAAGGCTGTATGTCTATAAAAGGAAGGCTGCCTGTGTTTAATTATTGTATTAATTATATTTTTCTATTTTTGTTCAGTTGTTTGTTTGGTTATTCTGTAACTATGGGCTCATGGGATGGGGTAAGAGTTATCCACAAACTTCCGATAGTGGATGAATATAGTCAGTGTTCCCTTGGGCGCTACAAGAAATTGGTGACAGAGTTTTGGGGGCATAATAAAGTGGTTGGCAGTGGCGAGATATAATGAGAATTTGCGTGTGGCACTGTGCGGCGCAACATTATGTTGCAGTCAAATAGAGAACAGAATGTTACAATTTTGAGATGCAGATGGAGCCAATGAAACTTAGTGTAGTGTCATGCCAAACTGCATGAACACAACAGCATTAATAGATATCAGTCTACCTACTCCAATACTTTGTTGCCCAGAATCATATACCAAAGTGTGCACCCTTAGACAGTTCAATTTCAGTATAGTTGACCAGGGAATTTCTGCCTCCATAAGTGGATTGATATTTTTTAGTTACTGATAATATGTTTAAAACCGTTGTAATGATTTGCTGGTGTGGTCACAACACTGCTGGAGTCCTTTGCTTGCTGGCCAGTTCATGTGGGAAATTTATATTGCTTCACATATTGTAAATTCAAGCATGTTCTGACATGTAAAAATTGGAGTGGAGTAGAACAGCACCTTAAACAGCGAAACGTTTCATATCTTTTGGTTTGAAACAATCATATTGACATAACAGTAATGCATATTTGTGACATGAAATGGAATTTTTAACAAATGTCAAAGACATTTAATAGAGAATTCAGGATAACCAATTGACGATGCTTAAGGAAGTGGTAGCCAACTACTCGTACATCACAGTAGAAACATGTAAAAGTGGTTTCCTGTTTCAGGTCGGCAATTGGATGGAATTTGGCACACCTCAATCGTTGCTTATGGCAGGGAGTATTTTTTTGGATCAGGAGGAGTACAGAGTTGCCGACCGGTGAGTCTGTTAACTAATAGTTTTTAGAAAACCGTGCACTTTTTTCTGATCATTAATGGAGATAATTATAGTCTCAAAGCCTTTGAGTATATGCATTGTGTTTGGGGCAGAATGTGGGTTTTCCACAAAAATATTAGTAATTATATGTTTCGTGTTTGCTAATATTAGTTTAAAGTAAGTTAACAAAAATAAAAAAGAGAAAAAAGAAAGACGAGGCAACCAGACGTTCCAGATGAGTGGTCATCATCATTTTTAAACAGTTCTTTTTTTTTTCATAACAGAAAATAAGCTCATAGTACTGTATATCATTGTGTCCTTTATTTTTTTGTCTGCCTCACTCACATAACTTGTGAAGAAATTTACAGGTTTTCTTGAAACCTGATGTTATATTGACATGAGATCAGTACATGTTTGTACTTCTTCTATCATCTGTATTATGAACATGCTGATAGTACAACCATAAGATATGTAACAGGTTGTGAAAGTTACGCAGGGTAATATAAACCAGCAACATGGCGACCATACAAAATGTTTATTTAGCTTCTAGCTTGACTGTGAAAACTAATGGGTCACTACAGGTATACATGTGAAAGTTTATATGGAGACAGATCACCCACATACCTATGCATTCCATATGAATCATTTTCTTACGTAATTATGTTATGAGTTGCAAACATGAGGTGTGATAGCTCATACAGAAAAGTGACTGGCTAAGGGCTACACAACTAGCCTTCTGTTCCCTAATAGATTCGTTTCTTTGCCATCATGTCCAGACCAACTCTGGACACCACCAGTCCTCAATCCAAGTGGCTGGAGAGTCAAGCTAAGCGCTTACCTCTAATGCTAAAATTAAGAATGAAAGGAGATTTACCTCCTTTCCCCATACTTCTACATTGCATGGTTTTTGAACAGGAAAACAGGATATAAATCCTAACTTAGAGGTTACATGTGACAAATTTATCATGGTTGGAATATCTATGCCTAGAAATGGATTTGTAGATTGTGAAATGGTAATGATTAATTTGTACTTCTTTCTGATCTCACTATATTTGTAAATATTGCCATGTATGTGTTACTGTAGATGGGGTTGGATTGGTGAAGAGATTTATTGACCATGTACAGATTGAAACTATAAATAACTATAACAATATCACTGTTTTCACATTTTACAATTCACTAGAGCACACAGTCTAGTCTGTTGCTAGACGATTCCTGGTAATGGCTCCAATCGTGGTTATTCATCCTCTCTTCACAAACTCCCACACAGAACAGATGCTTACCTTAATATACAACAATAAACAAACTCCGTGGCTTTAGTCCGCAAGCGAAATGTACCGACCGAGCGACCGCCGCTTGTTGTCGTAGTTAGTGCCAACTTTAGTGGATAGAGGGTGTCACGTGGTCAGCCCAGTGAATCTCCACGGCTGATAATTTCGGTTTTCTAGACCGGAGCGGCTACTTTTCCTTTCAGGTAGTTCCTCAGTTATCTTCACGAGGCTGAATGGACCTCATTCCAAACCCACTACTTCTCAGAAAATCTGGTAGCGCCTGGAATCGAACCTGGGACCTCTGGATCTGGAGCCAGGAACTCTGGCCACAAGACCACAGAGACGGTCCTCACCTGACTATGTCAGAGTCAAAGCTGTGTTGCGATGAACACTCAGTCAGCCAGTCTATCTTGGAATGAAGCACCCATCTGGGGCTTAAGACCATATCTTTATTACTGTCAAGACAGTTGGAAGCTTGTTGATGTGGGGAGCTCTGTATGACGAGAGGATGGGTCTGTCATTTGCCAGAGTCACAGTCAGTAGTAATAAGTCTGTTGTCAGTATGTACAATATACATTTTATATGTTATTAAATGTATGTGTATAAAACATACGTGGTACAGTCATTAAGTTCGTGGACTGGTTTTATCGCGTCATATTGCAAGGTATTCGTATACACTTACACGGATCCACATCGACCCCCAAAATAGTCACCGTTGGCTGTTATGCAAGTGTGCCAACGTTGATATAGCTGCTGAAAACATTACTGAAACATATTGGCAGGAAATTCCCGTACGGCATCTCTTGTGGCATTGGCGACCTCCTTGGATGACTGAAATCTACGACCATGTACTAGCTTTGCTTTCAAGCGGTAAAAGAGAAATAAATCGCATTGTGCAACATCAGGTGAGTACAGAGGTTGTGGCAAAACAGTGACCTGTTGCCTTGCCAGTTCCTCTTGGACAAGAACAGAGCGATGTGCAGGGGCGTTGTCGTGCAGCAATAGCCAATTCGTCATGTTAAACGTTTTGCTAGGGGATTTGCCTAATTTTTGGCAGAACTTGATGTTTGCCCGTTGTTCAAACTGCCATATTTTCGATTTCTTCCACTCGCATTTAACTGCAGTTCACAATAGAGACCATAGTTTTGCTTACACTGTTTGCACACAACTGCCTCTTGCTGTGATGAGAGATGAACTGCCAGGGCATCATATCATGCCTCAACCTATCCGCTGTAGTGCACTGCAACAATGCTTTTTGGCCAGTCTACGAACTTATTGACTATGGCAATACAAGGGCTCTGTCAGTCCAGGCTCAGTACAGCAGATCATGCCCTATCATTAGTAGCTCCTACTACAGTGGCAGTCTGGTCACTTGAACAGTCATATACTTGATCACTGCCAGGCTTAAGCCTCTTATATTTCCTGTGTCTGGATTCGCCTTGTCCAGTGTTATGAATATTTGCGTTTTCATGATTTTGTATTACTTCTGCTTGTTGCCTGCATAATTTTGTTATATAATCATATATGTACAGAAGTTTGAAAGCCATATGCAAATTGCAAATCGGTATGGGCCTTGCAAAATTTCCAGTGTTGTGGAGAACTTTGTTCTGCAGGCACTGCATTTTCAGTAGATGGTTGTCTGCTACAAACTCCCAGGTGGGACAAGCATAAGTCATGATACTCTTAATGAGTAGGGGCACGCTATAGCGTAGTAGGTTGAGGCACTATGCTACTAGCCGGAAAGTCGTGGGTTCAAGTCCCAATGAGGTCATTTGATTTTTTTTTTTCAATTGACCTAAACCTTCCAGCCATACTATGGCCCTGAAGTTGACTCAGCCTCTGACAGAAATGAGTACCAGGAATATTCTTGGGGGTAAAGGGCGGCCAGCACGTAGGACTGACAACCTTGCCACCATCTATGAGCAGATTGTCTAGAAAATGTGGGAACCTCAACGTCTCAGAGCCCTATGGTCCTCCATGGCCTGTTACAGGGATACCTTTACTTCTATTTTACTCCTAATGAGTGCTTTGTGGAGGGTCACTTTTATGTTAGCACTTAATCACTCACTTTTGAATAGGGAATATATTATAATAAATATTCTGAAGGCCTTGGCTTTGTTCATTTCTATGTGCAATCTCCATGCAACTTTCTTATCCAAGATTACACCAAGATACTTTACACTATTTACAAATCAAATATTTCATCCACCCAGTGTAAGATGGAACTCAGCCAATTGACGACTGCAAGAGAAGTAAATCCCCTGAGTCATACCTTCCTTAATTTTAATATTCCATAGCTCACACCAGGTCTCCCTTAACCTCCTGGTTATAACATCTCTTCACGGACCACATAGAAAACACAGTTTTTCTATTGTTGCATGCATGTATGTTGTGGCCATTACCTAGCAATAACTGCTGTTTACAGAGTCACCACTTAGCAACAGGTCTATACCCCACAATATAAACGTTTGGAAGAAATATGTGTCATGGGGGCATCCTAGCTTGTTTTGGTAGAATTTCTGATGTCAGATTTCATCAAAATGTGTTCAGAGGTTTAAAGGCGTAGTCCCTCAAAGTCATCCATGAAGGTTGGAATCAGCTTCTTCCAAACTCCTATTAATGCTGATATTTTGACCTCCTCCCATGAATCACGAATGTTCTTAATGACATCTAGAATGGTGAACGCTTTTCAGAAGGTTTTCAATTTACTTTGCCAAGATTCATCAGAGGAATCACTATCTATGGCCTTGCGAAATGTATTTCTTAAATAATGAGACTTAAAAGTAGAAGTAACTCCTTGACCCTTGGGCTGCAGAATGGATGTTGTGTTAGCAGGCATGAAAACAACATTAATCTCGTTTTATATCTCCATCAGAGCTCTTGGGTGACCAGGTGCATTGTCAATGAGCAGTAATATTTTGATATATTGAAATAGTAATAATGAAAATGTTTTGAATATTGCAAGAATTGCCAAAATGTGACACAGGGATACAAAATGAGAGCATGCTGTTGGAAAAACGGCTCCAATAGACTTGCTCAACGTGGGGTTTCTACAAGCCTTCAGAAGGCTTACCCTCGTCAGTTCTCCTGGCTTATCCACTGTACGAGCATGTCTCTCTCTCTTTCTCTCTACATACACACCCACACACACAGTTTACAGCAATTCACAATGATGCGAAGGGCGTTTCATATATATAATGCCTCCTATTTTTTGTGTTAATGTGTAACGTCTGAGCTGGATGTTGGTGGTGCTGTAGTAAAGGTTGACCCTTCCCGCCAATGTACCCTTAATTTGGTTGTCATGCGACAGATAGCGAAAGCAGAGGAGTCTACCAAAATGGCGTCTGACATGGAAGTGTGTAAGGAACAGAGATGTGTTATTGATTTTCTCACTGCCGAACAAATTTCACTCATTGAAATCCATCGACACTTGCTAAAGGTGTATGGAGACGATACAGTGGATGTCAGGACAGTGGGGCGGTGGGTAGTGCGTTTCAACAGTTGCGAAAGTGAAATACACAACAAGCCACGCCCTGGGCTTCCCTGCTCAGCTGCCACTCCTCACAATGAACAGCTCCTCGATCAGCTCATCCGTACAGATCGCCAGATAACGACCAGGGGACTGTGTGCACGGCTTAATATCGGCTGTAATGCATTGGAAACGATGTTGGGGAAGCTGGATTATTGCAAAGTTTGTTCCGGGTGGGTCCCGCGGATGCTTACACAGGACCA